CGAGTTTGGCCCGCTATTTCTCTCACCCTCCCTCCCCCCCCCTCCCACCTTTCCTTCCCCACTTCCCCCTCCACCAGCAGGTTGTTTAATACTTTCCAGATTTTAGCATGCCTTCGGCCTCCTGGAAGAGCCTCAAGTCTGCTGATGGAATTTGGTGGAAAAGGTTGTGGATCCAGGCTGGGGCTCCTGACATAATAAACCTGAAGGCTATGAGCGCCTCCCATTGGTGGCTCTAGTATGGATCCACTGTATGTTTTTTTTTTTTTTTTTTCCAAAGTGAATTGGAAAGCAAAGGGAAATGACATTTGACAGCCTCTGAGGCAGATGAGAAACTACATCCAGAGTGTTTGAGGGGGAGAAACAGCTGCAGGACAGACTCCTATTACAATAGGCTTTCTATGGGGGAGGGAGGTGAGCAGATCTCACCCATCTCCAGTGTCCAGTTTAAATGTGCGCGACAACTTGAGCGGCTGGGTTAACATCCTGCCTCCCGCTACAAATCACCAGATAGAATCTCATTCGACAGTCTCAGTGATGACTTTTGAGATTATTTTTTTTTAAAGGGGGAGGGGGGTCATTCTTTCTCTGTAGACACTGTGACACGTGGGAGTCACACGGAGACATGGTTGTGATAAAACAAACTCATCAATCAAGATGGTGTTCCCGAGCATGAGATGATGCAGAGGTATTAAAAAGATAGATTCCAAATCTCAAAGTCAAAACGGCCATTATGCTTAATACACGCCCATCACCAGATGTGAGCTTCGCACAACCACTAGATGGCAGTAGACAACAAGGTTTAGACAAAGTGAGTCGGCTTCCATGCAGCACATGAGGATGATTTATAATTCAGTTTAAAAACAGGACTTTAAAACAAATGCAGGAGTGGTGACTCATGGAGATTTGGTCTTTCCCCCTCAAACAAACAAAAAAACTAAAACAAATCAACAATCTCTAAGAAGAGTAATGACTTCACACAGACAGTGAAAAGAGGGATCAATAGCACTGCTGGTTCGTATTGACCACAACAATCAATATAAATGGCCTGTTTCTACCTCAAGTCTCAAGAATAATGACTTGTTCAGACCCTCTGGTAGATTAAACACTGGTGTAATGTGACTGTAAAAACTGAAAGTGGAAGATGATTAATTCCCTTCAATTCAAATCTGTTTCATTAGTTTGTCCGGCACCAAATCACAACATGCATTATCTCAGGGGCACTTTGCACAGAGAGGTCGAGGTTCCAAACATTCCCCCTTTTTTTTTAGCATGCAGCTCTAATGTGTAGGGATGCAGGGAGAGACCTTGGTCTGTCTGTTACTAGCGTAAACTAAACAGAGTGCACTGAACTTTGACCGAGCCCCCGGGGCATCACTGGTGCATGTGGAAAGCCAAAGTCTGTAGAAAATCAAACGTGACAGAACAGAGTCGATGATGAGGAGTGGAGGAGCTCGTTGCTACGTGGCTGCGACACTGACCCGTCCCTCCGTCCAATCAGGACATGAACCTGTCACAGTGAAGCTCTTCACCTTTCCTCCACCATCCATCTTTCACCCGCCCCACATGAGTACTGATGAGAATGAAGCTGCTCTGTGGGGGTATCAGAGAACAGAGCTCGTCTCTCTCACACAAACTTAAACACACACACACACACACACGTTTACTCCTGAGTCATCACATCCCTCTCAGCTTGTATAGCTAATACTTAAGAGACGCGTCCAACTTAGGCCTCAATTGCTTCCTTCCTTCCTCTTCTGGGAGAGCCAGAAAATAGTAACAGGAAACAGAGAAGGCACTCAAGGAATTCCTTTGTTAATGCTGCAGATGGAGTTGCACATATACTGTTATATTATCCTCTGATGTGCTGAGAGAAAGAGGCAATAAAAATAAAATATGCAGCAGTAAAATATGTTCAGACTTTATTTTATTGAAAAATATAGGTTATTTTGGATAATACAGAAAAAAGGCTGTAAATATACTGTAGGAGAAAACAACAGTAAGGCAGAATATACATTATACAGAACAAAGCAACACAGACAACTTCCCATTCGCGCAAGATTTACTCTGGAAATTACCTGAATATATTATGTAGTGTGTGAGCGATTGGCAATATAAATATCCAGTTATGCAAGTTCATTTGTTTTCCTTTTCTGCATGATAGCACATCTTAAAACACTATTTATTTCCTCTCTTTTTTTTTTTTAAAACCTGCAAGCTGAACTCGAGCTGAACTCCACACTGATTATCCAAACATAGAGGGAGGCGACAGACGGGTGTGATGGGCTCTCCCAGAAAGCGAGCTTCACCACTGAATCTTTTTTTTTTTTTTTTGGCGAGAAAATTAATCATTTGGCACATGTCAGCTTCAGTTAAGGCAGAGACATCAATCATCACCACTGACCCTCAATACTTCTGGCCACTGCATCTTTTTTTTTTCATGACGCAAGAGATACAGTCAAGCTGCAATGACAATGCAACTTACATCAGAATAGCAAGTCTTCTAAAATGTCTTGTCTCATGTCTTCTTTCTCATCCAATCTTCAAAAACACATATAGCAAATATTTCTCAGACATAGCAAAAAAAACATCACCAGGTATTAGACACGTACAAACGTAGTGTGTGGTGTAATAGTGCCTGTTGGTGCATTATTTCATTTTTTTCCCAATCAGTACAAACCCTAAACCCTGAAGTATTTTTGGAAACTGTTTTTACACATAAAGGCATAAAGGCACCCCCGGGGTTATAGAGGATTATAATCTTTAACGTAATTCAGTTGCAATGCTGCAGCTGTTCCGATGTATTAAAAAAAAACAAGGAAGGAAGTGGTTTTCAGTGTCAGTTCGACAGATCAATCAAAGGAAGCTAGTCATGTCGTGCCAATTCCAGGAAATCTCATTGACAGGAGAGGAGCCTGTCTTCAATGTGCGACACATGACTCCACACCCCTCCAGCTTTGTGTAGTAACACCACCCTTTAAACAGTTAAATCACGCTGATGTATCTCCATAAGTTTTTACGGCCCTGTGTTCTTTAATTTACACCGAGTACAAGTCTGTGTGGCGCTCACACTGGATTAAAAACAGAAGAGAGTTTGGGGTTTGGGCTCTGTGGTCTTGGTTTGCAGCAGGAAATGGCAGCGTTTGTGCAGCGTCGCAAGTACCCTGATGTTACATAAGGGAGACAATTGACAGATCAGTGGTACTTCAGTATAATATTTTTCTCAAAATGAAAGAGGCTCAAGGCCGGACTTCACACTCCAGTGAAGAACACAGCACTCTTTTACTGTGACAAGACACCCACCAGTGGTCCTGTGTTGACAGAGACCTTCTGTTCGGCTTAGGCCTCATGATGTCCCACAGCCAGAGAGAGAAAACACAGCCACAAGGGAGAGCAGAGCGAATGAGAGACAGAGAGAGAGAGAGAGAAAAAGCACACGCAAGTCAAATAAGAAAAGAGAGAGCGTGTAAACAGAGGTTTAGTTATGGAAAGTGTTTTTCTTACAAAAAAGTTCCTTTCTAACCCGTTCCTCCCTGCGCACATCTGGAATGTTCTCTATTCAAAAAAGCGGCTGCTCTTCCATGTCACTTCTCTGAGTGTTCAACAGGGAGAGATGGATTGACACACAGTGGAGGGTAGAGCTCTCTGACAGATGGAGTTTGGCCCATCCTGCAGGAGCAGCCACACTGACTTCACAGATGCTCAAAGTAAGCTTTCTCAGTAACAAATTCTCATTCACAGTCCCATTCCTACAGTGGATGGCTACAGTGTCTTCCAAGTGTTACTCCACGCTGTCAAAGGACTTGGTAGTTTCACCTAAACCCCTCCCAGAGCTCTGTCCTACTTTTTCATCAGCTTTGAAATCTCATACGCGGATCTCGTCATCTTCATCCTCCAGGAAGGAGGAGAAGTTGCTCTCCTCCTCTGGCGGGGCACTGAAGGTGGCGCTGTCTGTATCTCCTGCATAGGTCTGACTGTTTGGTTTCTCATCCAGGGCAGCAGAACCGGAGCTGGACACGGAGCAGCTGTCTAGATGCTGCAAGTGTTTGGGCCGCGTCTCGGGGGTGTACTGCGGGGTGTAGGGCCCTCCGTCCTCAGGCTGCCTGTCAATAGAGCTGGGTTGTTGCACGGAGTTCTGCAGCTCTGCCTCTTCCTCCATCTGCTCCTCTGTATCCTCGTCTTGCCCCTTCACCACACTGTCCTCATCCTCGCCATGTGTGCTGAGGGGTGGTGACGCACGGCCCTCGCTGCTCTTGCCCTCCTCGTAGCCAAGGTCGTCATCCTCTTTTTCCATCACCCCCAGGATGTCGCCGAGCATGGAGGGTCCCAGGTCGACGTGGAAAGACATCACCGACACGGCGTGCTTCATGCCTCCTCCACAGTGATGGGAGCTCTCTGGAAGCTCAGTCAGTTCTCCGAAGTCTCTCTCCTCCAGTTCCAGGAAGTGAGCGGCCGCAGCTGCACCTCTGCCGTCCAGCTCGTCGTGCTGCTGCTTCAACGGACTTGAGGACAGACTCTTTGCTACCATGATATCGCCTCGGGCTTCATCGTTGAGAAAGGGCAGAGACATGGCATTCTTCACGTAGGTCGGTGACCCACCAGGGAGTGCCAGGGCGTTGTCGCTCTGATGATCAACTCTGGTCACAGACTGGGAGCGTTTGCTGCTCCTGAAGGTACGAGACAGGAGGCCGGGTCGGGGGGAGCGGGGGAAGGACGTTGTCTCAGGGGGAGGTTCTCCCGAGCGGGTGCTGAGAAAGGAGGTATCCCCGAAGGCATCACCACTGCGACCCACATGCATAGTGTGGCGGAAGTCACCCAGCGGAGCACTGATCATCTCCCTGGTCAGGTCCATGCGTGAGCGGCGCTTGGTCTGGGAGGAGCCAGACACTAGCTGTTTTAAGATGGGCATGGCGGCTGATGAAGTGTTTCTTTTTCTTTTGCACGAAGAGGTATGAAAAGATGCAGTCAGCTGAAGAGAGCTTCCAGACGTTGAATGTGATGATTCTTAGAGACCTCGGAGTGAATATTGATGCTCCTTAAATCCAGTCAGCCTGGGAACCTGAAAAATGAAAGGAAATACAATAAATTATACAGAACCAATTCAACATTATGCACATTTAAAAAGAAATCAATCCTTTAAACTAAAACAGATATTGTATCGACATTGAAAAACACAACAAAGTAGTGAGTACTTAAAATACTTTTCACTAAAAGTAGGGCAAAAATAAAGCAAATAGAGTTTCATATTATGTTCAACATTCAGCATTCAACTGTTTTAATCCCATCAAGTAAATAAAAACATTTCTAAGAATTTCAAATCTTCCACTAATTACAAGAACCGAAGCCATCAATTATGCATCTCCATAATGATAAGCAACACTCTTCAAACATCTGTGTGATGACCTCTGGGGAAAGAAAAAAAAAAGATGGAACACCACAGGATTCTGTTTTAAAGCGGCATTATAATTGGGAGAAAAACACCAACCACAGACCAACATGAATCGGGCTGCCAGAGATGTCAACCTCGACTGCACAGCACGCAGCGTCTGACCGAAAAACTTATCATCGAGTTGCTGAAACGCATGTGGAATTTAAACTGGAGACACGAGAACTGACAGAAAATATCCCCCAGCCATCGTTTTCACTCAGACATCAGAGTTTAAGCACCTAAAGGTTTGTGAGCGACAGCTGATGGAAAACACTTCCGCAGCACAGGCCCCAGACAGAGGAAACTGCCAAGCTCGTCGCCGCTGCCGCTTCCTTCAGGTGCTCCACTGGAGGACAGGGGCAGGGTATCTCATTAGCGATCAATCCCAAGATATAAAATACGCATGAAAAGAACACTGCCCTGGTGGTCTGCAGAATGAAGTGCAAGCAGTTTCTGCAGACAGACATCAAAAACACATGCACCTCTGACTTGTGGCTGGAAAATCTCTATGGTTTTACATAAGCGGGCCTGAAGAAAGTGCTTACCTTGGCATTTTAAACCAGCGCCTCTCTGGCTTGCAGACAGTGCCTCTTTCTCTGTTTACTCATCTTAACACAGGGAGATCATAAAAAACCGTCAGTGACTTAACCTTGACTTGTGGATTTCTTACAGGCAAGCCTTCAAAACATATTATAAGTCAGAGATGTTTTGGGTAGAAGTGCCGTTGGGGGATTTCTGCAGTTTAATGTGGCAGGCGCTTTTTAGTTCACCGAACTCGTTCTTCTGCTTCCACCCCCCCCACACATTTCTTTGCCAGCTGAGCGAGCCGCTATACTCCTCTTCCTGTTCAGGCCTTCACCTGCTTTGGTCTCCATAGAAACACCCTCCTGCAAGCAAGCAACAGCGTTTCCTGTCAGGGGCCGCAGAAGGCTCCAGGCTTCATACCAGCATGCAACACATGGCCTCCTTCTGTGTCAATCTGCAGCTCAGACAATACCCGCTTTTAATCTGATGTTTTCACTAACCATCCATCCATACTGTGGGTATTTTTTTTTGTTGCTCCAAATGGAAAGAAGTAAAAATATACATGTGTTCCGATGCTGTGCCAGGGACATAAAGCGATCTGTATCAAGAGAAACATATAGGCTGCAGCTTTTTTTAACCGAGGCTGAGATGCGATGTGAAAAACTTTCCATGAACTCGAAATGTTTTTGTGCCAACACACACAAACAAGGTCCCTTTTTTCACAGACACATGTTTATTATTGAAGCTGCATGCTCTGATTTGTTTTTGGGGGAAATAATGAGAAGGAAATAATTCACACCCAGGCAAAAAAAAAAGAAAAGAAAAATGATGACTAGTTGCTTCTGGGTGGCAAAAACAGACAGGGCAAAACAACTGGCAGATGAAACTAGGAGAGATGGTAAAATCCTGTCTCCATCTCCTTCATCCCAGCGCCCCAGGCCAGGATCAAGCTGAAAAGCTCAATGGCATGACCATCTCAGGGATGCAGAAATTTGTTTCAGACTATACCAGGCAGACTGTTCATCAGCCGAATCTAAACCAGACCCCGGAAACTCTGCAGCAGCACTGTTCTGCAGTTACATCAAAACCTGATTGAGTATAGCCTTGCTGTATTTAGAGCGTTGTGTGTCTTTGCATTAAAGTGTGTGTGTGTGTGCATGCATGTGTGTGTGTGTATTTATGGGGGAAAGGGCCTTAGAAGGCAGCAGTTAGCGTGGGAACTACAGGGTCACGACGGGTGGGGGGGGCTTTATAAACAGACTTTCTCACTCTCACTCAGGGTCTGGCTGCTGCAGAGATCACTGGAGACACAGAACGTGGGACAGAATCAGACGCATCTGCATCATTTCAAATTGACAGCGAAACCAGAAAAGCTTCGCAAAAACTAACACATACGGGACTTTTCTGACCCGCAGAGCAGCAGCCCCATAAATGATTTGCATTTTTAAGATGACTGACGAGCTTTCCTTTTGGATGTGGCGCACACACACACGGTGATAAACATGAGCACATTCATTTCCAAAATATGTGAGAAAATTATATTCCAGCCAATTCCCTCCAAGTGTATATATTCTATGGGAAAATGAAATGTAGGCTCTGTTTATAGATCACAAAACTCAATTATCAATTTAAATACCTAGGGCTGGGTCCGTGGAGGGTTCTAAATCTGTTTAAACATCATATGGTTATAGCCACGACTCTGTGGGAAGAAAACACACACCCGGGTCTTCAGAGGGAAAAGCACATAAAATAACATAGAAAGACAGCAAACAGAAACGGTTTATTTTACCCCGACTGAAGAGAACGGGTGAAGAAAAAAAAAAAAAAGGAGACAGCCGTTATACATCAGACAATAAACTGACAACATTCACCTGGGAGAAGTCTGAGTCTCAGAGGAAATGCTGCAGTCATTTCTTAACGACAAGCACAGATGCTACATCACAGGAAGTGAGAGCACGGCGGCTGTGAGCTCCAGCTGCGAGTCAGAAATCACTCATATAATTAACATGCATCTATTAAGGTTTTACAGAACACACACACACGCATACACACACACGCATATTAATGACAAAGATTTCCTGTTCAACACAACAGAGAGGTATTGACCCCCCCACGGATAATTTGTGTTTAGGACGAATATAACTTCTCACTTCTTGTCAATACTCTCACAATAGGCCAGACAACAATAATACACAAGAGATCACTCAAACACACACGTACAGGACAAATGGTCCATTTCCCTAATTGAGTATTGATGCACCTCTGTCTCTGTGCTTAATTCATCCAGTGTGTATTCCACTGTCTGGGAGAGAGTGGCTGCTGTGGGGGTTTTCTGTCTGCCTCATTTGAAGCCAGTGACCTGGACGGACAAGCCAATGACCTGAGGGTGAAATGACATTAGTGGATGGGAGGCCCCTTTTGATGGAGGCACCCAAATGTGTGTGAAAAACAAGGGCTAAAATTGCTGTTTTCATCCATCTTGCTGACATCACAACCTAAAAATTAGTCTAGACGACTTCATACCATTTGCAAGTAAAAACTGAGGTTTATCTAAGTTCAATAAGGTATACTGTTAAGTAACAGGCCAACACACACACTCACATACACGTGTTTCAGTAATTAAGCGGACAAATGGCGTCTAATAGATAGCTATCTGCCACGCAACTCAGTTAGCAGGCCTGAATATCTCATTTAGGAGGGAGCAGCCCTAGGACGAACAGTGGAAATCACATTATCTCTCAATCACACAGACGGGGAACCAAATGCATCAAGCGGATGCTGCCCTCTGAGATAAATGCAGCAATGGGAAAACACACCGGTCTAATGAGAATTTACAAATAAAGCCCCCAGAGGCTTTACATAAAAAGCCAGATCTAGCTGTTGTTTAAATGGCCCATTTGGGGCCCTCTAAATGGGCACTGCCATTTGCTTGTAGTTTTATGGATTCAGGATCAAGTTGTTGACCTGCAGTGTTTCTTGGAGTTCTCTCTTATCACACCACCCATTTACCCAGGCAGTTCTCCGCCGTGCAGTTCCAGGATTTAAGTGTAAATCCGCTGCAATCTAAAGAGCGAGACAAATCCAAAGTCTATTACTTTATGAAAACGATGAGGAAACATCGCCCAAGGCCAGAGATTTAGCCGGCATTTGTTGACCGGCTCCCGTTCACACCATCCCTGACCTGAGCATGTTCGGTTTCCATGTGAACAACTTTATTTTACTGCACTTTGTTGAATGGCAGAATTATTAGTTGTCAATATTTTATGATTTTCTTTGTTTTATAGTAACAATAATCTGATTTCTTTGTCCTGACTCTTATACCTGAATTTGGTTATTTATTAAGAAAGCAAATAAAATACCAAACCTTGAATATGAACTGTAGGCAAAGTAGGCAACACAGCAGGTGAAATCCTGTAGATGCAGCATTGGAGGACAAATTACTGAGGCACCTGCTTTAATGTTTTGAAAAGAGAGTACTTTTCTATATGGGTCAAACAGTAAAAAGATAATTGGTACAACTGAATCTTTGTGGAATATTAATACCCAATTTGTGCTACAATATTTTGTCTATGGGATTAAAATTACATTAGAATTCAGTAAAACATGAATAGTTTCATTAGTCATTTCAGCCCATTATGGACTTAAACAAGAATAATGTGCTTGAGTAGAGTAAAAAGATTTTTTCAAAAGCCTCACACAGGCAAACTCACATATCAGTGTGTTGGCCGTTGCCACTCATACCTGGCACTCTGGTGTGAGGCGGTCTGTTATGCTAATGTCACACTTTACCCAGCAGGACATTCTGCTTAGTACAGATCAAAGCACAGCACAGAGTTTTAGAGCTTTCCTGCGAATAAAAGTCCCTGTAGGGTTTTTTTTTTTAGTTGGCATTCACATCACTGACTTATCCTGAGATCCGTGAGGGGAATATTTGAGGTAAGCTGCTTGGACAGGAGGAACAAACTTACAAAACTCAGCAGTGTTTAAAAATAGCATCCAGTGACTGGTAAATTAGTATACAAGTACATAAGTCTGTTAATGTTGTATAATCAGCGTGACTTGACCAGCGCTAACTTCAACTCATCATATCGTCGATGATGTGCTGAATATAGACGACAGAATGAGAAGCTGGAAAGGTGGGCGACACAGAGCAGAGCCATCAGCCAATGACAGAGGTCCCTGGCAGAGAACAGGCCCGCAGCAAGTCATGTCGACGTGTAGCAGCTGACCTCTGATACCCGAGAGGAGATGACTTGTCTCTTTTACATTTGCAGCCAACACAGCCTCCAGACATGACACTCCATCTCTTTCTCTGTGTTTTCTGCTCTCACAAAGGCGACAGCTTTGATTACAGACACAAACAGCGAATGACGGACAAGAACGCTACACTGAGAGTGTTCTGTGCGCTAAATAAAACATTCACGGTTCAACAATGCCTTATTATACACAAACAACGCTGTCCGCCCCTGCTCTGCTATCGCCTCTGATGAGAATAAATTTGACGAACATGCCTCTGAAATTACAGCCAGCGTCGCTCAGCATCAACGTCATCTGTGTATTGGGCATGGCATCTAAATAAACATGGAAGTTGTGGGGGTAGGGCAGAAATTGGCCCCAGTGTGGCCATCGAGTTTCCTCAACATAATCAGACAGAAAGAGCAGAGAGGAGAAGTTGACAGTGGTTGTCTAGAGAACATGCCAGAAATCAATACTGGTTATACGTAAGAGGGTCGCTGAAGGGGCTGGAGCCGATCCCAGCTGGCATTGGTTGAGAGGAGGGGTCCACCCCTGGACAGGATGCCAGCCCATCACAGGACCAACATACAGAGACAGGCCAACATTCACACATATTTAGAGTCTCCGATCAACCTAACCCCAGTCAGCATGTCTTTGGACTGTGAGGGGGTCAGAGTATAGGGAGAAAACCATTGAAGACACAGGGAGAACATGCAGACTCCATCAAACCGGGATTCAAACCAACCCTCTTTCAGTGAGGCGACAGTGCTAACCACTGCACTGCCCCAGGCATGCCAGAAATGAATGATTTCTGTAATCAGACATTGCTAAAACCTGATAGCGCTCTCATTATCCAGTCGGACACGAAAGGTCAGTAACAAGCTTCATGTCATTAATAATCTTCCCCGTCCCCACAAAAACGTTGGAGGTTTCTTAAGTGGTGCATGTGCACAGAGCGGCATGAACATGACTGATGATTATTGAGGTAAGTGACCGACACCAATAACCTCAACTTAAAAACTTGCCAACTCTTTTCCAGAAGTTCATATTTCATTCACGAGTGTTTGACAGAGAAATATGTTGTCGTGTCCGGGGGTCCGCAGGAAGGGCAGGGGAGAAAATGAGGCAGTAAACCCTCCCATCTCTCCGGAAATCTCTCAGCCTGCCCTTCCTGGCCACACATGTAAACAAGGCCTCTGTCCCCCATCAGGCTGTGTTACTGATGGGCTGAGCTAACAAACACAGCTCATATCGCCATCATGACTCAGTTTTAATAACCTCACAGGGTCAGGGACCGAGCTGGGACTGTTCGACAACAGCTCTTAATGCAGTGGACCTCAGGCTAAGTTACTTTCATTACTTTAGAGGCTGAATCTCCTCCAGAGCAGGTATCTGATGAGTCACAGCTGATGACGGCTCTGGCCTCAGGCCCAGGTGTCTGTGTTGTCACCCAGGTGACTCTTCAGATTGCAGAAAAAAGGAGCGAGCTTAGATTTTCTAAAAAGCACTCAAGTGAAAACTTGTGCTCTTGATGGAAGGAATGCAGGGAAATTATGGGACCTAGAGAATCTTGCTTTAAAGTGCAAGAGTGCCATAATTATAGGGTCAAGGGAACATAAAAAAGCAACAAGATTCACAGGTTGGAGGGAAGCCAAACAAGCAGCTATCAAACAGCGAAGGGCTTTTTGTCAAAGATTTGATTTTTTAGAAAAACCAAAGACCACTTGACGTCTGTATGGGAAATTTAGCCCACAGAGAGGCAATCTGCAGTGTCACTAAAGTGAATAATCATTTTACTGAGTGTCAATTCTCCTTCAGAATTTAATATCCAATTATTGGATTAATGGAAATAAAACTGCAGGGAAGATGAATATTAAAGATTGACTTCTCTCAAAAAATCTCTGAATATTTGTGCAGTTTAGAAATACCCCCCCACCCCCCGCCACTGCTGTCAATTGCCACAGTGACATCGGCCTCATACAATATTTACAACTAGTGACAAGGAAACAGGATGGAGAAAAAAAATGAATAAACGTTTCCTGCGACCCATAGTACCAACCCCAGCACACTGGGTCACAATGCAGCAGCATGCTGGATAAGGAAAGAAAACAATGCCTCCAAACAAAAGACACAGGAACAAACACAGCATTCACACACTGACACATGAGACGCCCTTAGAATTTGATGTTGGGACAACAAGGTCATAAAAAAGGTAGGTGGCAGCGTACCAATAAACTGTTTAAACTTTATGCAGCAAGACAAACTACATCTACGCAGGGAGTAAATTATCCACCAAGCTGGGTTTATCATTTGTAGGCCTGTGGTAGGAACTCAGGGGAAATGACAACAACTCTACATGTTACTTAAACTACACATCATTCATAAAACCTGTCTTGTAGTCTGTAATATCCAGCAGTTCACTGTCACCATGCTCAAACAGTTTATATTGGTATTTCCTGGAATGTGAAGGGGCTGGACAGGACACACACACTGCCTCAAAATGAGCGCACAAACTCCAGACATGTTCAAACTTGGGTGCAGGACTCTACACTCGCCGGCCACAAATAACACAGTTTAAAGAATTGCACTTCAGCACCACCACAGAGGGATTTCTGAGATTCTGATTATCTCCTACATGCAAAAGTCAGGCACAAAAACTTGTTCACTTTGGTTTATATATTTAAAAAAAAAGAACAATCAGAAGCAGGTTGGGTTTCCTGGGCTTCCAGCCAGCTGAGGTTGTCTACACTGTGCTGTACCCAATAACAGAGTGCTTGGCACAGTGTCCAACACCGCACAAACGAAGACTAACTTTCACCTTCAGGCACTAAACATATGTCTCCTGCAGGCAATTAGATGCTTTGTAATTTAAGAAACAACAGGAAAGTAGAGGGAACAGAACCTGTGTGGGCTGGTTTAAAAAATGTGTCGCCCGTTCAAAGAGGCATTTCACAGGCACTTCTGGGAAAAAGTAAACAGACTATAAGCCTATAACACATAAATCTTGGCAATGAGGCTCAGTTGTTCGCTAGCCGCCTTAAATCCATCACAGTGGCAGGAGCAGGGCGAGGTGACATCACACAAAAAACCTTTGTTTACTTTGGTTAAGACGGGTCAAATGTCATATTTACACCTATAGGGGAACAGAGAAATTCAATCATATTGCCTCACAAGCAGAGCTCTGTGATAACTTTATCTCCTGAAACAATTGCACGGGAGGACGGCAGTGATGGAGTGATGGCCGACAGACATGAGGCCCATCACCTTATTGTTCCAGTCAATGAGCTCATCAGATGCCACAGGGACACGAACGCTGCCAAGCAAACCTGAGAGGGCGGCCAAGGGGATTGTGTGGGTAATGAAGTGGACAAACAAGACAGGTGTGCAGTGCATGCTGGGGTTTTTCTTTTTGTTTAGTCATCTGATCATGTGAAATTCAGAGGCAGCGTCTGGTCCAATTTTTGCAGGTTACAGTCACTTCCTGTTTTGACTCACTCTGAAGTAAGTTTACACACACGTTTAAACGTATTTTGCAAACATTTGCAATCCAAGCATTTCCACATTTACAACACAATCGCTCAATATGTCATCAAACACATGTGGCCTCATTTTGAATATTTTGATTCTGACCTCACATAAGAAAAGAAGAGTGATGTAACATCAAACACTTTATATAAATGTTATCAACAGCATCACTCAATCAAGCCAAAAATGTGAATAATACCATATGGTTTCAAAGGGTGTGTGGACAAAACCACATGATTCTCTCGAAAGCAATTTCCTCAACAAAGGAACACTCGAAAACAGGAGCCATCATTTCCATTTAACGGCACTGAATTCCCTCCTGTGTTTACAGCCCAGTGGTGCTTCGATCACATTACAATAAAGCTGTGATTAAGGGTGGGTCACTGGCAGGAGAACAATAAGTAGCTGACCACAAAAGCGTCAGCTGCCGGTGCGCACCGTGCGCTCCGTGCTGGATAAAGCAGGGGCTGGTTCCATTCATCAAGGATGCAACACGGAATATAAAAACACATTTGATCCTCTAGAGAAGTTCCAGTGGGAGCAGAGACGTAGGAAAAGAGCACACACTTACCGAGCATCCCATTCATAAACGCCGGGTGCTGCTTGCACTTTTAGGCCCCCAGCAGGTTGACGATGGGGGCGCGTTCATGAAAAGAGATGGAGGAAAAAAAAACACGCTCGGATGAAAACGTGCGCGTCCGAACAAAGCTGCCACACAAACGTGCCCCTGTTTTAAATTGTATAGATGTATTATTAAAGCTGCCACCGCATCCTCTCAGGCGGTGCTGCTGCTCCGGAGCGCAATAACTCAGCACACCACAATGGGGAGGATGCCTCCTGCCTGGGTAGTGTGCGTGAACACGCCTCCTTTACGCGGCTCCTTAAAGACACAGGCTGCCAGCATGGGGCCTCTCACACTGGCTCAGCGTGGTGTCCCTCACTGGAGGAGGCGGGCCCAGTGTCACGTACACTGACGAGGAGAAGCCAGGGAAATAAGCCACTCTGCAAACCTTAACACCAAAACCATTACCAGTGTGGTCAGATGTCTTACTATTATGTATTTAACCAAATAAAAAGGAATCCACCATCATATTCAACATTTAAAGGGAGAGTTCACCCCAAAATGTGCCGATGGAGGGGTGGGCGAAGTGTTTGAGTCCACAAAACACTTTCAGTGTTTCAGAGAGTTTCAGGGGTAAAAAGCGTTGTGATCCACACATGAACGCAGCACTAGAGGAGAATATTAGATGATATTTAGGCTAAAAATATGGTGTAAATGACATTTCAAATTTATTGTCAGGGCTTACAGACACTTGGACGATACCACAGGAGCAGTATGGAGGCATTTTATGTTTTTTTATGTTTAGTTCAATTGGATTTTGCTGCAATGCTGGACAATTTGGATACAACAAGAGCATGTTATAATTGTACGAGAGAAGCTTATTACCTCCAAAAAGGAGGTTATGTTTTCATCCTTATTTTATTGTTATTTATTAACAGGATTATGCCAAATCTACTGGAACGGATTGACATCAAACTTGGTAGAAGAATGTGATTTATCATGAATCTTGATTTGAAATATATATAGTTTATTTATGAGGTTAGTATCAATGAGTGCTTGCGATAATTTTCAGATCAAAATCTGGATCTAGAGGATTTTAATGGGGTTTAATTGGTAGGTCTAGAAACGTATAATGTGGATGTAGGGCTTGTTTGAACATAAGGGGACTGTTGGGCCTTGGTGGACACATGTTTTCAATGGGATACAAGTGAAAGTTTAAAAATAGCCTCACATCCTAATCAAATAAACCCTCTGAAAAGCAAAGTGTCTGAAAGCTGCCATGGATTTCACACTGTCTGCAAACACTAAAGGATTTTATCTCGTGACCATTTGTTTGACCATGTGTATTCCAGGTCGATCAGCTGCCCTCAGCCAGTGACCGGTCATTAGTACCTTTTGGAATGGAAATGAGTGGGAAGCAGTTGAGGCACAGCCCGAGGCCGTGCACGCTCACCCTCAGCTCAAAAAAATAGGAATGTGTGAATTGCTGATAGTTATCAGAGGGCAAAGGTCACCCTCCTTCAGTACCTGGAGAGAATGACCATTCACGTTTGTCCTTCACAAACCAACTTCCGTTCATCTGCTCAATGCTATTCTTGAAAATCTCTGGTATTTCATAATATTTGGGTCAATATGAATCAAGTGTCCATCACACACACTCTTTTTTCTTCCTTTGGCAATGTTCCCAGTATGATCCGTCCCACCAGCTGATGGGAGAGCAGGATTCTTTATGGTGAGAATTTGACTGCAGTGGCCTTTTGTCCAGGCTCAAGCTGCGTTTTGTCATTTCCAGAAGTATCAGTTTCACCACTCTCTTCTAAACTGACTGACACTTTTAATCTCTGTCAATAAAATCCCTTCCTCTTTCTTCAAACCATGTTAATGAAATCTGGTAGAGGTAGAGAAATGGTATGCAAACACTGCACTAAGCTACTGTATCACCTGTGTTTACAGCACATGCAGCTTGTCAGGCTTCAGATTCGTTACCCCCGGACCCGATCATGACAGTTTTAAAATGCACAAACAAGTAAAGATAAACTTCTTTACTGACCAGTCAAGAGATACAATTCAAAAGAAACAAACAAAATCGCACCTTTCTTTCATAAAGTGTGGATGAATTCCATTAAAGTCATGTAAAGTTCACCTTGGCTCATTATTTCCTCATCCTGCTGCTGTTGCAATCTCACCTTTGTTTTGTTTTTTATCTCCAGCAGGTTTGACAGCTCTTTACAGGAGAATATCAGAGGAGGATCTTTGTGCAGTGTGTCTGCGCCTTTGCTTTGTCTCTACATATTTGATATTCTTGACTCTTTTAACGTCAGTAGAGGCATTCTGGACATTCGGGAAATTCTCAAGCTGTCGGACCATTTGTCTTCATTTCACCATCTGCTGCACAGAGGGTCAGATGCTGACGGTCAATGGAAAATTGAACTCTCTGTAACTTTCATATTTTGGCCGCAGATTACAGTGTTACCAGTCTGTTGTTGTGTGTGTTTTTTCACTACTATTGTTGCTGTTGTTCCAGATAATTAAGGAGAAGTTGTGTGATGTGGCAATTTCTACCTTTCTGTCATCCGTGTTCACATCCTCACAAAGACATCTTTATTTTTGTTATTTCAAATCAGAGACGGTGTTAAATATAATATCTAAATATTTTCAGGAGCCACTGCAAAGCCTATAAATCATGTAAGTGACAGAAGACACCTTTTAACCTTTTTGCTATGTCACTCAACAACTTTGTGTCTGTGTGGGCGGTAGTTTGGGTGTGCAAAGCGTTTTTTACTTTGTATGAGGATGGCAAATATCTAGACAGGCCTGATTTGTTGAAACCAGTATTCACAAACTTCAGCGTGTTGTCCTGCAGAGGATAACAAAGAAGAGCCTTGAGGATTCTCACAATAGTATTACATGTATTGACTTTCCCGACCCGGATGCATATACTACTGATCAGTATGTGACGCTACTGTGCATCTGTGCAAATGGAAAATAATAAACCAGTTGCCCTTTACATGTTGACAAAAGTCTTTGTCATCAAAAGTGAAAAAACTTCACACACATCACAATTTTTCAGTCAGAATTAGGACACGTTCAGTAAGAGTCGGTGCCATGAGGACATACTGAACCAGAACATAAAAATGCAACAGATTTCTTGATGAGAAGCCCCGTCTGTCTGTCTGTGAGTCTGTGTGAAGAGAAGATTGGCTCCCTGCCGTGCATTGGCAGAAGGTGAATGGTGACGATAGATCTGCGCACAAAGGATTACCATAACTTTGAGTCACAACATAGAGCTGTTTAAAATAATATGACTAATTTACCCTCAGCGATTCCAAGATTTCTGCTGGGAAATATTTTTTCGTAAAACATTTAAATCAGATTTTCACATGGTTCTGAATTGAATGAATGAGAAATGTGATTTGCATAATTATAAATCAACCACAGATATTGTTATTGGAGTTTATTTTTTCCATCTTTCGTTCATTTGGTTTCTGATGAGGCCGATTAAATAAGCTTCAATATCACTATAAGTTGTGTCGACTTAAGATTTTCTTCTTCTTTAAAGCCTTCCAGTCTGATCCCTGTTTCTCCTCTCTTTGCGTCGCTTAAGATCGATGTTTTCCGGCCCGTAATAAGGAGATTACCCAGGCACACTCTTCTGCCCTCCCCCAGCTTTTCAGCATGCGTGCACCAGATCAGGTTCTTCTTCAAATTCTCCCCTGCAAACCGTGCTCCTATGCATCCCAAATCAGGTCTCTGTTGTGGCTTAGAGAATCCGGTTATTTCTGCACTGTAGGATCAAGTGTCACCTCTAATCACTTTGTCTACCAGACTATGCAAATAGGTCTACTTAGAACTGTCTGTCTGTGTTAAACAGTCGTCTGAGGGGTCAGAAATTCAAACCTCCGCTTATACTCTCTTATGTTGAATATATGAATTAAAAAATCACACCTCTTTTTTCCAACTCTGTATTCTAGCAATCTAAAATATTCAGATGAAGAAAAGCCATTAAAAAATAGAGTATTTTATTTTAGAGAGCTACCATGAATAGGTCCATAATGTTCCCCTAATAATGTATACAGGTATGTTCACATTGGTGATTTGACAGATGATATTTCTGGGCCTTGAGGACCAAATGTCTACGTCTTATACACTAAGGGTCCAACTGCAGCACAGCAGTATAGTAAAGAACCAGTATATTCAAAGGTGCGGTAAAAACATTATAACATCTGTATATGCGTGCACTGCGAGCATAAAACACATTTTTAGTCATCGTTTCAATGCCATGTCACACTGTAACATGTCGCACAGAAATAAATATCACAACACAACCCTCTGTGATACATTGTTCAGACAATACCTGTGCCTCGTTGATGTTCGTACTTTAATAAAGCTTTTTTTTTAAATAAACATAGATACACAGTCACGCCTGCAACTGTATATAAAAAAGGATGACATGGCTCAAAGCCAAAACGATACGAACACCAGCATCTTGCATATTTGAAGCAATATCACAGCAGCAATGGGGGGATGGAGCCGCGGCACAAGAGGTCCTGTCCATGCATGGTCTCGTCCAATCATGAGTCCGTTTCCGCTGTCAGTCATGATGTCTTACCCTGTTTTTATAGGATTAAATTTAATTAAAACAAAACTCAGGTGAAAAATCATCACAACATTAGCGTGAAGGCCCTGAAATGATACAAACTACTAGTACTTTGAGGTTGTTAGTTCAGTCCGTGTCCCAGAACACTAACATTGAGGAGGCAGGAGTCATGACCTATTCTGCAGCCAGCCACCAGGGGCCGATCAACACGCTTTGGCTTCACTTTTGGGGAGCAGTCGTGTAGTCCATCTTTATATACAGTCTATGAGCTGGCCTTTTCTTTAATAATAAACAAATTGAGATAAATACATATTTTCTTTTCAGATTTTTTCACATAATGCTGTAACGGAAACGTACAAATGTTTTTTTTGGTTTGGTCACTTTTGTGAACATTTTAATAATCATTTAGATTATTGTGTATTAGCACTGTACAGTTCATCACATTTTCTACTGCTGTTCGTTATGTCTTAGAAATCTGATCAAAGTGAGTTATTCTTGCACTTCTATTAATAGCATTATGTTTGCTGTGATTGTGATCAGAAGAGAGAGATTTGTGCTTTTGGTCCGGTGTTATATTCTGTGTGTAAACACAAAGGCAAAACAATGTATGTTAATAAAGTTACCTAAGTTTGTATATCTACTGACACCAGCACACAATTAACATATTCCCCAGACTACTATAAAAGGTGCCACAATGCTTTAATGTGATTCATAACATTGTCACTAGTGATGTTCTGGAAATGTTCGAAGCTGATTGATATAAATATCTTGTAAACAATATAATACAAGTACATACAGTAAACACATAATGCAGTTCCAACTAGGATGGCACTCAGTAGAGAGCTCGCACCTTTGCAGAGGCCGACGTCAAACAACATACACCAGACCTCAGGGCAACCAATTCAAATTCATAGTCAATGATCCAAATCTGCCTAAAAATGTAATGTTATTTTTTCAGACCACGTCACATCACTCCACCAAGTTTGGTGCTAATCAGTTTTGTACTTCTTGCATAATCTTGCCGACAAATAAACAGACACGTGTGAAAACCCCCTTGGTGGAGATAACAGTGATTAGGCAGAGTGAGAAACTCAGAGGCAGCCAACAGCCACAGTGGCCATTCCTGCCTCCCGTCAAGTCAGAGTCCAGTTCTCACTTTACGTTTGTCCTCTTTTCAATCATCACAGTTTTCCATCAGTGGTTGATTTTCCATTGTCCAGTCTCAGCAAGCCAAGTGGTCCATAAACTATGATTCTAAGGTGATGTTTTTTTCCATAAAGCTCTCATATTAAACAATGATACAGCATTTTAAAACAAGGATTTGTTTTTTTCAGAACCTCAGGTTCTTTTTATCCCTTGTTCGTCTTGTTGAACCTTCAAATAAATGTACTCAAGCGACGCATATAAACTTTCAAATGATTGTCTTTTCATGAAATATACATCACATGGACAAACCAACCATACGCGCTACACACAGTCATACACACACACTCTTTACAGAGAAGAAAGCGCTATTCAAGATGCCTGCAATGCTTAATATTGAGCAACAACTCTGTCAATAAAATAGAGCTGAGAAAAAAAACCCAGAAGGATCAAAAAGAAAGAGTGAAATACAAATAAACCAACAACAACAAAATCAAAGACTCGTCCTCAGGGTCCTGTTGTTATTGGAAGGAGAGCTGTGTGTCAAACAAAAGAGGAGAAGCCTGCGGTAGGTGCCTGAGTGGCACAGCCCAGACTGCTGGGGGGCCGGTACAGGGTGCTGTGCTGGCTGGGGGGCTCGGAGGACAGCAGGGAGGGGGTGGGAGTCCGGCTTCCCTTTGGCCTGAACAGAGTGCCCTGGCCCTGGCACTGTGGCTGCGGGGATGGGGCGCTCTGGGGGAGGAGAGGGGGCAGAGGAGGCAGAGGGGGCACGGGCGGGGGGTGCTGCCGCGACTCCTGTTCCACCAGGGGCTCGGGCTGAGAGTAGCCGTACGCCGGTGGACGAGAGACGCCCTTCTGCTGCCGCCGCCACGAGTTGTAGTAGGTGGGGTCACTGATGTAGTGGTTGACAAAGGAGTGCGTCTTCTGTCGGCTCTGATCCATCTCATACTCGCTGTCGCTGCCCTGTGAGTCAGCGTGGACACAGAGTTAGAAATCACTGCAGTTACCAAACAAAGTGAAAAACAACAGCAGACATTTAGGATTCTGACTACAGAGAATAACACTTACATTTACATTTACACATTCACAAATCAAAGCTAAATCTACTGCAACACTGGCTACATCCACACTCAGTATGTGTTAGTGTGGACTCCAAAAACCAGCAGCGTTATAACTTTAAATAAGAAATAATCTCTGTCCGTACTAACACACCGAAATATAAATATCCCACGATTCTGCAATAGGAATATATACAATCTGCATTCACGTTTACAAATGTCTCCATTTCTGCCTGTTGGTCTAAAATGCAGCCACCTTTTCAAACTTAAACAGGGCAAGCGGTGTCTCAGAAGGTCTGTTTCAGGGGTTTGAAAACTAGAGTGCACACCACGTGCAGACGTAGCAAAAGGGATTTTAGACGTTTTAAAGCTAAAACATATAAGTGTGGATGTAGCGACTGGGTCACAGCAGGGAATATCTACAGAGAGACAACTGGAAATCTATTAATCCATGTGAGATTCTATGGGGCAGATGATCTCGTCTATTTCACACAGAGGGTCTCACCCATTGCTCTGCGGAGCACAGAATTGATAAGTGTACACGGGAGCGTCCTAGAATTCGACAGAGATAACGTTTGCAGGATTTACTTTGTTTCTGTCGTCATGTAATGTTTGTGTGGGTGACTCTTGCACATTATATAGGCTGACAAACACTAACAGTTAAAGAACAAGAGAGAGAGCAAATTACAGAGAAAACATCACACTCTAGGTACATTTGTGTGCCTAACAAGTGCCTGCCCATCTTCTGCTCTATTGAGACGTTACAGCCTAACAGATGCTGAAGCTACATTTATTTGCACAAGTGGCAGGTAAACAGTGGGAGGCAATGCAGAGGAAAAGAATAACACCCGTTTGTGTCTCCCGGGGGAGCGGTGTTTGTTCAAACAGGAGTGAACAATGTTTTGACTGTGCAGGTACCAGATAAATTGGCTGTTGAGACCCGGAGCAAGTGTGGGAATACAGATGTTCAGAATCTGCTGCAATTAGATTCTCTATCTTTGGCATCCATCATCCTCATCTTCATCATCACTTCTACACTCCCTTTCCCTTCATTGGACCTCCCTATTATCCCCCCCCCCACACAGACACACACACACACACACACACACACACACACAAACTGAGCTGTTGAGATGATCACATGATGAGCTGAGACTCAGCAGGTCATATTAACAGGACATTTCCTGTTTGAGGAAAATAAATTAGCTGTGAGATTTTTCCAAATGAGACGTGAGAAGTGGCTCAATAGTTTTTCTTCCCATGAGAGGAGTCAGTATTAAAATTCAGATGCCAGAAATGTCAGCCATGACTGGCCTGTGCTAACACAGGATATTTAATTTGAGGTGATTCACTCGAGGCAGATTGTTGACTGTCGTTAATTTATACTCATAAATTCTGCTTCTTAATTATACAGCTATCTAGTTTATGCATCTAGCAAAGCAGTGACTATGGCAGAAACAGTGGAGGTTATCGAGATGATAGATGATAATTGTGGCAAAAAGGGAAAACACTGTGATAAGTTTTCTGAAAAGTTCCAGTTCATTGGCGATTCCAGACACGAGGACGACACTGGCTGCGAGGCAGGGTCACTGCTTACCTGAGAGTCAGATATCTCAGAGGGTTTCTCTGTCAGACTGCTGCTCTCTGCAGGAATCAGGTCATTATACTTAGTGCTGACATCCTCGTCTGAGTAGTGCAGACTTCCAGGGCTCGGTCTTGGTGGGGAACTGTACAGATGAAGAAAAGGGAGATTGAGAAAGAGTTGATGAAAGATTGAATGCAAAGGACAGAAATCAAGAGAAAGAGGGACAGTGGTTATATTAAGCTTCATTTCATCATCATCTTACGCTTTGGGGATCTCTCTCTTCTTTGAGTTACTATTGATATATATTATAGCCCTAATATTGATATATATATAATAGTCATTCCTGTGACTGACACCTTTGACGTGACTAACTTAAGTCTGCAAGTAGAGCACATACCTCCACCAAGGCCCATAAGTCCCTTTAAATTCAACTGAACTGCACAAATATCTCTGCAATATCATCGGGATCTGCACCTAAATTGTATGGGTTCTTCCCTGACCCATTCTTCATCCTTCCACCAAATGTCTGTGGTAATCTGTTCAGCAGTTTTATCGCAATCTCGATTAAAAACTAACAAAACAACCAAGAAACAAATGGAAAGGGTGCAAACATGCCCCCCTTGGTGCAGGTAGAATTGAAGAGGTAATGAAAGTGCTGAGATGATTGCTTACTTCAACATGCACATATTATACATCCCTGGCAGCCACTATGAGAACACGTAGGGAAGAGATTACATGTGGTTTTATGATTTTGCTATTTCCCTGATCCTGATCTTTAACAAATGTCTGCTCGGGGCATCAGAGGCAGGCAGGGGGGGGGGGGGGGGTTCTGCATGAACTTCCTTTAACCGTCATGAGATGTGCAAACAGAATTCAGCATAAACATGAGTATCTCCATGAAAGGATTCTTTGTGGTGATTAGCGCTGGAAGACCGTTGGTTGTAGATTTAGACATCCTGCAGAAAGGCTGTGTAACTAAGCATAGCCCTGAGCTCAAAGTATTATGAAGTTCCTTTATGAGTGCAGGTCAAGTAAATAGACCCTTAGCTTCTTTTGGCTCCAGTCATTAAGTCCGTAAAGTGAAGCAGCAAGAAACATCTGTGCAGGCAATTATTTTCCTTCTTCTGCAGTGATGACTGCTGCTGTGTTCAAGGTCTGCTGGGATTGCATGGGATGGTTGGACCAGACCACTATCTTCACATCACTGAGCTACATCAGTGGGCTCAGCATGTAACTCAGGCTAACGCAGCATTAAGGGAAGACTTTGCTCTGCTGGTTTTAGAGAAAGAAAGACGAAAGAATTACATAAACTAGAAATGGCATGAAAGTAAATGTTTAAATGATCCGAAATGGAAAACATTGTATGTGGGGGCAAAAGAGACAAGCATAAAACTCTGTGATGTCAAGTTTAATATTGGAGCATAAAGCAGACAACCCTGACGACCTCTCAAGTGAAAATAAAAATAATGTATCAACTGAGATATGTTCAGGAGCTAAGTCCCTGGAAATGCCAAGATCAGGGAGCTCAGAAGACACAACATGGCAAAGGCTATGAAGGGATTGAGACACAACAAAGGAACATCTCCTCTGGGTTGAAGGGGATGACGTGCGGGGGTGGACTATGAGAATTTTATATATATATATATATATATATATATATCCAGTCAAAATTCAGACAAGGCTGTGTCAGAAATTACAAGAACATGGGGCCACATGTAGACAGAGGAGGAGTGATGGTTGCTCCTCCTATCACACCTACACCCAAAATGCTGCCTGTGAGCATTGAATTATTTAGGAGCGCTGTATGTTTCCCTTTGCCTTATCTTACTAATTCATCCTTCTTTCCCTCACCCTTTCAAATAATCCCACAGGGAGCCTCCCCTTCTCTCCCTCCTCCGTCCACAGATCATTAGTAAAGAGCACAGAACCAGAGTGGAGCCCTTCAAAGGGAGGGAGGATCTCAAGGCCCTTTTGATCCCCTTCTTTGGCCTCCCTGGTCAAGTAAAAATCAGCAGAGACTCCGCTGCCCTTAACGCCCCCCTAGATTCAACAAAAATATGCACACTAAAGCGAAAATCATGTTGTATTTTGCAATGACAAGAAGCAGACTTTGAACCCCCCAACCCCACAAAGCAACCACATGACCATCCGCCCATGCAGTCACCCAATGTGTGACCCACGTCTCTGCATGGAACATTCCTTTTGCTTCTCATGCTGCAGCGTTTGCGAAATTCCTCTTATCTAATGTGTAAGCAAACATGACCACAGAGCCAGTTTGCCAAAGTCCAGCTGATGGGATGTCGGACGCGTTCTCACACTGACGCCGTTTGAGAGAGAAACTTTGGGCTCGGGGCCAATGTGAAAATGGCCGGCTCTGACCCATAAGCACCCTTTTTTCTGAAGCTGTGACGGACGGACAAAGGGCCCATGCAGAAGCTCATGAATGCTAATCAGCTGGTATTGTGCTGCCCCCTTATATAAATTGTTACTTCACACAAACACTGAATATCAACAAGGGAGCGGAAGGAGGCTGAAATCAGCAGCTGGATTCCTCCAGGCTCAGTTTGTTCTCTCAAGAATGACAGACTATTGTGAGGGAAGGAGGGGACACAAAAAACTACATTATTAATTCCTGTCAGTATCATAAGTAACACACTCAGCTGGGAGAGGAAACTCATACAAAACCGAGTTAACAATATTATTTATGAAGTTGGATCTGTTCCCTGCAGCAAATGAATACAATGGTCAGCTGATCGTCGTGGATGGCTGAAGGAACTGACCGTGTGTAGATGCCGTTCTTGCGGCAAAATGAGTTTTTCATGGAGAGGCGTCTGTTGTTGAGCTCCAGGGCCGGGAAGCGTCCCTCGTCCAGGCGCACCATTTCTCCATGGGTCAGGGGCAGCGCTGTGCAGTTGGAGTGGTTGCCTGGACAGGGGTAGGAGGACGACACTGTAATGGTCGTGGAATAAAATAAGCGATTTGTGATCTTCAGTCTTGAGCATAACACACAATAAAACTTCAGGCGTGAACATGTACATGGGTACTTTTTTTCAAACCAGAGAAATAGTACACATGGGTTTTAGAAGAAGAAGAATGGTAGGAAGAAGAGAAGGACAGAACATTTGAACTCTGCATTCAACCCACCCATGAGTATTGAACATGCATGCACGCACACACACACACACACACACACACACACACACACACACACACACACACAGACCCTGCCTTGCTCAATGGAGCTCTAGTCAATCACCTCATCCTCAACATTAAATGCTGCTCTCTTCATCTGTAGATCATTATTTTCACTGTCCAGTCCCTCACCTCTTGTAAAACAAACAGCCACCAGCGGGTCAGTCCATCTTCGCGGCTGGGAAAAGTGGGGAGGGGCTGAGAGGGGCTAAGAGACCCTCTTTGTATCCCTACACAAACACAGTCCTTGTCTGGAATGGTCTTGCCAAGCCCCATTCAGTGACCCTGGTAACCCTGGCACCACGCTAAAGACTGACTAAGCCAAAGAGCTGCTGGTAGGAGATTTAGGAAGACTTGACCTGACCCTTCACTCTTTCTCCCGTCACCCTCCTTCCTCTCATACCACTGTGTCCACCTACTCTGAGCAGTTCCAGACCAATTCTAAAAAAAGGGCCCTAAACTCTAATTAGCTGTCAACTGACCACAACCTATACATCCACTAATTGATTAACTGACTGATTGATTAAGTCCCCCGTCCTAATTTTTTGGGGGATTGAAGACAAGACCCTGATAAAGAGTTTCTATCTACAGAAATGTCACCTGGGATAAGTCGCAGTCATGAAAATCGGCTATTTGATTCAGTAGTGTGAGAGTCACTGGTGCTGTAGTTATATAATTACTCTCAGCCTGACTAATGACTTGAGCGTTAAACCGCTGCCAAGCCATTAATCCTAGTATTGATCCTCATTGCAGTTAAACATGAACAATAATGTTTATTCATCTGCCTATTTCAGCTGGTAACCTTTTACTCTCATCTCTCGCTCGTCAGCTCAAACTATGTACGGGAATACAGGTCATTTGTCTAATTGTGTAAACCTTCACACTTCCGTCTTCGAAAATAGACTTCAGATGTGCAATCATTAAAGTGCAATTCTCAGCAGCGCTGTCCGAGAGGAAGACAAATTCCAGTCAATAGCTTAAGCTGCAGAAACAGAGAGAAAGAGAAACGCTGGTGCTGACTTTAGCAGTCAGCTGGGTCTCCTACCTGAATCTGCTTTTTTGGTGTATTTTTTACTCTGGCCTCGGATGATGAGAATGAAAACAAGGAGGAGGATGAAGATGAGGCCAACCAGAGCAATCACAACCAGGAACCACCACTCCTCATAGAAGGGAGAAACTTTCTGGGCTGAAAACACAACAAATAATACAAGTTAATACCTAAATTAAACATTTTTATATAATAAGCACAGTTTTGCATTAATTCTAATTAAAGAACAATTAACCTGATATGGAAGGGGAAGGAGCGCTGGGAGATCCATATCCGTAGTCATTGACTGCTATTACTCGAAAGTCATAGGTGACCCCTTCTCTTAGCATGTCCAGGTTAAGTGTGTAGGATGTCACTTCTTTAGGAATGTCTTTGATAAGGATATCCCACAATCCTTCATCTAAAGACGAGAAAACGTGTCAGCACATCAATTATCACTGTTATCTTCATTGAGGAGAAGAAAAAATTACTCCGGAGCTGTTGTGACTCACCAGAGGGTCTGGCTTCAATAACGTATCTGGTGATGGGTGCACGACCTTGATCGCCACTCGTCCAGTGCAGCGTGAGGGCGGTGCCGTAACGAGAGATAAAGGGTTCTCCAGGAGGGCCCGGGGCTCCTTGGGACGATAAAAAAAGGTCAGTTTCATTCTGTCAGGGAGCCACTAAAAGAAATTACTGACATGAATGTTAGAAAAGAGCACCTTCTCCCGGCCCAGTGGTTATGTTGGCTTCGACCTCTGGCCCGTAAGTGAGCGTTTTAGCTCGGATGCGGAAGTTGTAGGTGACACCATCGGCCAGGTCTTTGATCTTCATCCACAAGGGAGTGCTGCCCTTCACATCTACTGTCACTATCTTACTGACACCTGGAGTGCGAGGAGAGGAGTCTGTACAGGAAACACTAAGACTCTAGATACTGCTTTCTACAAGCGACAAATAGCCAAGCTTTGTTCAGACACACAGAGGCACGCAGACAACTTCACATTGACTAAGACACGGTCAGAGACACACACACACACACATACACATATGTTGCACATTTAACAGAAGGTGTATTATGCAAGCGGCTTCTCAGATATCCAGACAGGAAGTGACACCGGAGCGCTTTTTAGAATAGACCAACTGGAATTCCCTGTCGTTGCTACTCTGCTCAGCTTTGCTCGGGGTCCATTACTGGATAGCCGTGGGACCACAGCAGCATCTGCTCAGCATTCCACCTCTGCTCTCAATTACTTCCCTATCTGGACCAGGCAACTGTACTCAGCCAACTATTAGCCATGTTTCTCTTAGTGTGAGAGAAAGCAGTGCAAAGTCTCACCAGAGCATTCCAACCTATTTTATCAGCCCTGCCATATATGCCACTGCAGGGCCTGTGCTCATCTATGGCAGATTAGCGCATGAGCTTAATCAGCGTGAGTTAAAAAGGAACACAGTAATGAGGCTAGATGTTGTAAATCAATGTCTGAGGGAGCCAGCTGAGGAATGTCAAGACATGACAGAGTTATGAGGCTCCAGGCCCAGTTTCTCACCATCGACTGGAGTGCAGGGCTCGTAAACCAGGCGGTATCCCTCAATGATGCCGTTTGGCTGCTTGGGCTCTCCCCATGACACGTTGACGGAGGTGGTGGTCAACTCACTGAAGTGGACGAAGCTGGGAGCACTGGGGGCTTTGGGTGGAGAAAGAGGAGAAAAAGGTGATGAACCACTAAATTAAATTAGTTATTTTTGTCCCTTATTCTTGATGTTGCTCTTCAGAAGACATTTGAGTTTTAATAAGTTATAATAAGAATTTAGCCGACAACTTCTGTTGCAGACGCACACACAGGTAAATTATACTTTATACAAAAATCAGCATGGCAGAAATCTAGAGGCGGTGCTCAAAGCAAGGAAAGCAATTTGACACATTCATGAAAAAATGATGCGAGATGACATGAAACAAAAATATTATGAGATCAGCAGTAATGGAGCTTTCATCGTTTATTATCAGAGCAACAATAAATAGTTTTTTTGCATCAACTGTGGCTCACAACAATGTGAAAAACGGAGGGAAAAAAATCCCATATGACTGTTTAAGCAAGTGAGTCACCAAAAATCTCAAAATAGACACAAGAATGTTACTGTGACCTTGATGGGGAGCTGTGAGAATTCTGCCTGCTGACCCAACGCAGATCCAGCTAAGTGTCAGGATTTACCCACAATTCTGCATAAAATTCACAAAAGCTCGTGCTGGCTTGCTTCCCAGTATCCCGTGGTGCATGGAGCCAAAATTCCTGCTTGTGTTTTTAAGTTCTCAGCACTTTGTACCCCTCACCAATGTCACAGCCTTTAAGGGGGCGGAAAAGACGATACTGTAAACCATTTTTGTGCTGAAACCGCAGAGGAGGGACTCTCACTTGCTGATAAACACAGACGTCTTTGTGCAGCAGCAGCCAAAAAACTAATCTACATGTGTCCCCCCCCTGCGCTCTGTATTCATTGCTCCTCTGTTGTCACTGGGCTTCCACCCCTGAGGCTTGTCCTGGAGGAGGTGATCTCTCATCTCACTGGACGAAAGCTCCTCAGTGAGAATGTTCTTCGGGAAATAGGAGGATCGGGTCTTAAGTTATTTGTCTTAAAGCTATAGTTGCAGTTTGTAGTTTTGTGTAACACTGACTCAAGATAAAAGCATTCACCATAAATGTGTCTTAACCCTGAGTTATAGTCAACACAACCACACGAGCACATTCTGGTTAAATAGTCAGAAGTAGTAATTGTGCAGATATATGGAGACAGACAGAGGAAAGGAAATGAGGTGTAAAGAAATAAAGAGTCTAAGCCTTTTTAACCCATAACTATAATCTTTCTGAACATCTGGATTCAGTGCAACTCACCTGCTTGCTGAGTGCGCCCTCTGGTGGGCAGGGAGCGGGGTCCATCCCCTGCAGCGTTGAAGGCCGCCACGCTCATCATGTAGGTGGTGTAGCCTGTCAGGTTTTTAAGCTTCACACCGAGCTCCGGCAGGAACAGCGTACGCAGGCGCTCCGTCTCATTCTGGAGCTGGAACTCCCAGAAATATATCTGTAAACAGAATAAGAGTTAAGGATGCAGAATCACTTTTTTAAATTAAAACTTCAGACTTTATTTAACAAATTTCCCCTTGAAGACAATAAAGTGTAAACTTAGAAATAAGAATAAATCTGTACCTTGTAACCCTGTATGTCCCCATTCTGAGCATCCAGAGGAGGAGGGTCCCATGTGACATCCAGCTGTGTGGCTGTTGAGGACTGGACCACCACATTTTGGGGAGGGGCTGTTGGAACTAGAATGGGGCAAAGTTCAGATAACACCTATATTAGAAATGTTATCACTGTTTGTAAGTGATTGTGAGTTAAGAAATAAAGATGAACACACAAGCCGCACAGTGTGAGAAAAAAACCTACCCGCCTCTCCAACAAACACTTCCTGTGGCGTGCTGCTCGGACCCTCCCCCACAGCGTTGTACACACTGAGACGGATCTCATAGCGTTTGTGTTTACTCAAATCTGCAAGGAGAGAACCCGGCACATTATTTTAAAAGAACAGTTAAGATAAACTTGTAAAAAACAAGTTATTCCGAGGAGACACACACAGTCATAGTGATGCCCACGGCAACACAACTTCACAAATGAAAGAGAGAAAAAAAAAAGAGGGATGGAATTATAAGGAAAACTGATAAAAAAAAATTGAGGTTGTTGTCGGGACATGGGGGAGATTTGACAGTGATTACAAAGAAAGAAAACACACTGAAATAATGGTATGGCATCTTGGAGAGATTAAAACCATATACACATCATAAGAGTCAGCAGTGGCTCCTTAGTGGATACGGCTGAGTGGGAGGACGGTGCAACGTGCACTTGCTGTGAATTATTATAGAAATGGCATATATTTGTGGATGTGAAGTATAAGAGATGACGTGCCGACAGACAGAGAGTGATGCAGGAGAAGACATGAAGGGAAATTATATAACACTTACTATCCAGTTCATACTGGGTGAGTGAGGATTCACTCAGGTTCCTGACACTGTAAGGAGCTGGAGATATGAAAAGGGGGTGGGGAAGGTCGGGAGAACAAGGGTGAGGGTCAAAGGATCAGGGAGGAGTGGAAACATTAGGAGACTCATATGTTAATTTGACAAACAGCCTTTATGACAGGATCAGGGTCAGGAAGCGAAAAGAACGTAAATCACTGACATATTTTCCTTTTCTGTCACTTAGTCAAACTATACTGACAATTAAACATAATCTCTACAGTGACAGTACTCCAAATAATATAATAATTATTTTAGGCAAATCACCATCTGACATCATATTATAAATAGATACAATTATAGGACAGATTTACAGCGATGAAACACACAACAAGGAACTTTTCATTCAACAACTGGAAGTCAAAGAATAATCTATAGAATCAGAAATCAAGAACTGAAATATCTGGATAGCATGTGAATAATAATAGAGTTCAGCCCTTGTCAACGTATAAATATGCAACATGTATGATATACTTTACATGTATGTGTGTACATGTATGTATATATGTGCATTCACTATCAAGCTAAGTTTTTTCTTTAAACTTTTTTCTTTTATTCCTTTTATATTCCTTTGTCTAAATTGCTTTCGTTTCTTTCATTATTATTGTCATTGTTGTTATACATTCTCTGCACTTACCAAAAACAGACTGCTCTAAGTACAAGCATCATATAAGCAACAGTAAAATTGTGAGAACTCTGGCACTCCTACGATAAAGTACACATATACATACATATATCTTTGACTTGAATAAGAACACTGGTGAATCAAGGTAGCATCACTCCGTGCATGTAACCCAAAGTAGTTGAAACAGTGAAGAGGTGAACTCACCGGTGAGATCAGCCCAGTTGGCAGAAGGACTGTTGACCGTACGGACGGTGAAGCTGCGCAACCTGTCGTAATGTAACTCTCGGTATCGGACCCTGAACCCCAACAGGACCCCGTTTATGTGATCCTCAGACGGAGGCTGCAAAAGAGAGGAAGTGCGCTTAATGCTCAAAACTTTTCCAAACATGTGCGACAGAATCTGCAGCTCCGGCCAACAAATTCCACTGTCACCATTCATTCTTCCAGTCATAGCGCCAAGTAATTCAATGGCGTACCTGCCAACGGACCAGCACAGATGTGGTTGTGTGAGGTGTAACAGACATAATTGTTGGGGCTTTGTCTGGGGCTAGAAGATAAGCAAACACCACAAAAAAAAAAAGGATTTTGGTGTTAACAAAGCAAACCAGCTGTGGAGAGCGATATATAATTCAAACATTCTGGATGGGAACAGCATGAGAGCAAAATACAAGCACAAAGGATGTCAAGTATTCACTGTGCAAATCCAAAGTCAACACACAGATGTGACGGCATGTTCACACAACATAAGAAAGAACAGATAGTGACGCTGATATGTTCGGGTGGGCAAAGTCTCACCATCTTGTAGCGTGGTGATGGCTTCGCTCTCCTGACTGTACTCACTGTCTCCGATGTCATTAGTGGCTTTAATGCGGAACTGGTAAGAAGTGAACGGCTTTAACCTTTGAAGAGAGAAAGACAAAAAGTGCAACGTGGACGTCGTGTTACACGCTAAAAATCTTCATCTGCCTTTGTATGAAACATCTGCAGGTCAGTTTTCTATTAAACATAATGGAGTAATGTGCATTTACTGGTTTCCGTGTCATTGTCTGGCTACAGAAAGAGATTTCTAAAATATCTGATGGATAAAGCTCTTTTAAATTATGATATTCATACTGTATTTATCAAGCATTTTTTTTTTCTGTTACACTAATAAATATGTCCAATTTTCTCTTTAATACTGATATAGAACTTGAATTGAGGACCGGTTTGTTTTGCATTTGATCCTTTTGTTATATTTGGGAGTGGTTACTGGTTTCTACCACAGCCCACATATATTCTTACCCGTATTTTGTATTCATAAGTTTTTTAAGGATATAATATTTAAAGCGTACCTGTCCACTATGTAGGAGTGTGTCTCATGTCTGACTGATGCAGAGTGGACGGTCCAGTTACTGTCGGGCAGCTCTCTGTACTGGACTGTGTAGTAACGAACTGGGGACAAGCCGTCGCTGCCTGGTTCCCATGACAACAGCACTCTGCGAGCCTGGACTTCCTCTTGAGGCACAACAGGGCGGCTCGTTGGTTGGGGTCGAGCTGAAGGTTGCACACACACACGCACGGTCACTCCAGAACTTGATTACATATTTATGAGGTGGATAAATTAAATAATACATTTTAACTGCAGTATATTTACCTCTCTTTTCTGTTGTGACCACCAAAGCCTCAGCCGCCTCCCCCCAACCTTTCCGTGTCTGAGCGGTGAGGCGGAATACATAAACCATCTCTGGCTTCAGGCCCGTCGCCGTGTACTGCCGCGCGCTGGGGCTCAGCACGTCTACAGTGGCGGCGTTGCTATTTGAAGAGTTTCGTCTGAATGTGATCTGATAGGCTGAGAAGACAAACTCATATAATACTCAGTGATGCATTACAAAGCTGAAGCAAAGAGAAACATCCAGCCGCACTTCAAAATCAAACAATAGTGGGGAGCAGAGAGAAAGTCCACACACGCAACAAAGTATTTTGTTGAAACCAGAACTTTCTCTTTGCCACTTTTCACATCTCCCACTTCACTGCAGCTGCACTGTAAGTTTTACTCTATAATTCTTATTCTGTCTAATTATTTGTTTTATCTTCCATTTTATTGTAGTCTTTATAAATCCTCTTCATCTATGTACTTTTTAATTGGCTTGTCTTGATGCCTTTTATTGCTGCAGGTATACAGCACTTTGAACTGCCTTGTTGTTGAAAGGTACCAGATAAACATATTTGCCTCTTTGTCTTTGTCTCGCAATAATATCTGAAAGTCTATATATTGAACTCTCACCCAGGATAATGCCATTGGGCTGTGCGGGCGGTTGCCAGATGAGCCTGACTGAGGTGGTTCTAACTTCTGGGAAGAGAATGCCAACTGGAGGTCCTGGCACTGTCACAAAAAAAAACAAAAAAACAAATTAGTTTTATATGCGACATAAATCCTTTCATAAAAACTGCATCAAGGAAATGAAAATTGAACATCATGAACTGAAATCCTCTCAGCATCGGTGCCATTAAAAACATTTAGAGAAAAACAATGTTTGATAGAATAGATCCGTTTACCATCGTCCAGTGTCCTCTCCAGAATGGACGGCGAGCTGCTCCTTCCATCTCCGATACGAGTGAAAGCAAGCACTTGGATCTCATACAGGACGTACTTGCCCAGACCGCTCAGCTGCACACTGTGGCTAGTGTTGCCGTCCACTGTCCAGAAGTCGGGTGCTTTGTCCGAGTCCTTCTCTTTGTACACAACCTGAGAGACGCAGGGGACGTTATTCAGTGAGTTGATTTTTGAATGGGATGGTGTAATGCTGTTTAATTTACTCTACAGTCATATAGAGTCAAATTTTCTATAGATTCTTATGCGGATGACTTATCTGACCTTATATCCCAAAATGAGTCCATTGCGGTCAGTCGCTGGGACTTCTCCCCACCGCACCAGGATGCTGCTGGAGGTGGTGGCGAAGGCTGACACATTGGTGGGACCGCTGGAGGGCACTGCAGCAGGAGGTAAAGGCCCAAGTTTAGAGCACTTCCAATGCACATATCAAATCTATCTGACTTTAAAGTGGGCTTTTGTGGACATCCTCACCAGACTCTCTGGTCCTGCCGTGGACTGGCGAGCTCCAGGGTCCTGAGCCAATACCATTGATGGCCTGAACTCTGACCTCGTACTCCATCCACTCCTCCAGGTCCTCGATGGTGAACTCCCTCTCCAGCCGGTCCATGATAACGTGAGAGAGAACGCCCCCTTTAGAGGCGGCTTTGGAGTATTGGACCTTGTAGCCGAGGAGATCTGGATTTCCGTTGTACTCCCACTCTGGAAGAGGCTGTGAGAGATCCCCCAGGTCATTAATAATAGTCTCAATATTTCATATTTCATTAGGAAATATAGTTATTGAAAAGTAATTAAATGCATGATTGCTGTGCAGGTTTTGAGTGATTAGTTCATCAATATATAAATTAATTGCTGTGCAAAAGCAGGTGTTGGCAATGACTCAAAAAGTCGCTCAGCCAGTAAGAATAAATAAAAAAACCAGACCTACATGTTTAATACTCTCACACTGACCTATGCATATAATTGAGCATGATGATTGCGCATTCCAATGCAAACATGTACTGGACTTTTATGAAAGTGCTCGTGTTCTTCAAATTAATGTGGACTTCCACTGCCATGGCAATAAAGTGGACCACAAAATTTTACTACAGTTTAGCCCAGCTTTTCAAAAGAGCCAAAACCATTAATTCCATTAATTTGTTGGTTCTGTTTCACACGGCTGACACCCCTCTGCTGTTAAATCCAGGTAACATGCACTTTTTTAAATCCTGCAGGAGCTGCGGGGGGGTACTTTGCTGCTGTCTGTCACCGTCTGGCACCGAGCTCAGGCACTGGCACAGTGACGATAATGGGCAGATGTAGCAGAGAACACACTGGCCGAATACTGATGCAGGCAACAGCAATAATCAAGGACAGAGTGAATGCACCTTTCTGAAATATAACAAATGCCATCATCTTTATTCAGCATCGAGAGTACAAGAGCACATTAGCACATTAGCACATAAACGTTTTCATCCAAGGTAAAAATCTGCTCCACAATAAAGACAAACCACGTGTGCTAAATTCTAAATTGAGGTTTTGTGATAAAAGTGGATGAGTTGATTTTAATGTAATTTTTCAAATCACCCGTTGAGAGAGAGAAAGAACTGAAAGAAAGAACTGTCAAACAAATCTGACCTCTGTAATTTTCATGGGCAAAATGAATATGCCTACATCAGATTTTCACATTGCTTAGCTTTTGAGTGTAGCATTCAAATATTATATGAAGGGCATTTCGTCAGTTCAGTCTCATCCCAACAGGACTTTCCACCACCACCGACTAGAAGGACAAAAATGAAAAAAGGAAGCAAATGGAAATATTCATCTAGCAGTAATCTACACTGCGCACTGTATCAGTAGAGCAAGGTCGAAACCCGGACATGCATATTTGACTTTAATAATAATCTAATCAAACCTAACCAACTCCATACGCGCTGAGTCACGCCCAAAAGCAATGAGCCGTGCTAACTCACCACCCAGCGAAGCCACAGACTGGTCTCGCTGGCTGTGCGCAGGGTGACGTTGGCGGGGGAGATGTCTGGAGGGGCCTGCAGGGTCTGGATCTTCCTGGAGGGCTGACTGGGAGGACTGGTGCCCACGATGTTTACCTGACGCATTCGGAACCTGGGGCAGAGAAAAATAGCTGACTCTGGATTCCTTTACTCGTTATAGGCAAGCGATATGAGAAAGGATTAGGTTAGATTACTTTAGAGTAGATTAGATTAGATTAGATTGGATGAAACTTTAATGATGGCCATGGGGGAAACTAGGTCATTGCAGTAATGGAGAATATGATCCGTTTATGAGGAGAGAACTAAAGAAAACAATACAAACATAGCCACATATTCAGGATGATACTAAAATGGGTCATAAAGATAAAGGAGGATCAGTTTATACAAGACGATCGTGCAAAATATGGGTTTTATTACATAGCAAATACAGTTTACGGGCGTAATTTGCTGTGTGTGCTCACCTGTAAAAAGTATAAGGGTTTAGCTCCAGGACCTCCAGCGATCGAGCATCAGGTTCATTAGCCAGCTGATGAACCATCAGCCATTCCTCATTTTCTCCTATTATGCCAATCTGAAACGCAGAGTGATATCAGGGGCTAGATAAATTAAACTAATAAGCTACTTACACCTCTACGCCAATATTAAGACATCAAACATACAAAAACAGATTGTTCTTATTACGTCTAAGTGTCTAACCTGAGCTTCAACCTGCCAGCGGGAGATGGATGTCTTCCCGTCATATCCGGGTTTGAACTGCAGAGTCACAGAACGAGGGCCGATGTTGGAAATGGCTAAATTGGTGGGAGGACCGGGCAACTCTGTGGAAGAGGACAGAGAAAAATTAAAATTAAAATTAAAAACATTATGTCCAGTCACAAGAGGTGGATTGACAATTTAAAACCTAGTAACAGAGTATTTAGAGGATATTTCAAATACAAGTCAAATTGTTCATTTGCTCATGTGACCACTGACCCGGTGGCACACCAGAGGAGATGGTGGAAGCGGAGAGCTGGCCCTGGCCCTTGGCGGTCATGGCTGCGACCTGGATGGTGTAAGTGGTGAGGGCAGTGAGCCCTGTCACCTTGTACTCCTGAGTCAGGCTGGGCAAATAATGGGTCACCCGAGTATTGGTCCTGTTGAACTCCTCCCAGGATATACGGTAGCCTGGGGTGGCAAATAGTTTCCACAGTTAACAAATCTCAGCGACATCTAAATTGTGCAAAAGAAGACATGTTAACGTCATCTTTAATGGTTACCTGTGAGAACTCCATTTTTCTCTTGTGGCTCCTTCCAGCTGACTTTTAGCGAGGTGTCCAAAATGTCAGTGAAACTGAGGTGTCCCACAGCACCAGGGGCTATAAAAAATAACAACAGCAGACAGTTAAATGAACAGAACAACAGCCTGACACATAATTATCTCAGTTTATCCACAACTACCATATAATAGCCCGAATGGCTGCACTTACTATCCTCATGGGTGCGCAACCGCTGAGATGGGCTGCGGGGCCCGTCTCCTGGGGTAGTGAAGCACAGCACTGACGTGAAGTACTCTGTGAACTTTTTAAGGCCGGAGATGTAGCCGACATGAACACTATCCTGGAAGTTGGGACGCGCCGTAACCATGGTGACCTCATTTGCATGACTGGGTTCCCATGCCAACAGCTGGAAATGATGCGATTGGGCACAGTGTTTTAATTTCTCTGTTATAGGCTTACTAACGCAGATAATATCATATCATCAGTATCCTTTTTCATAGTAGAATTTAAATTCAAGTTTAAAGTAATTTGTTGAATTAATTTACATACATCTGATTACTTCCACAATGTCACCGCTTGTACTGTTTTCAATGACAGGGTGCTCTTCTACCTCTGGCCACTAGAGAGCACTAGTTGACAGAGGGGGGCTGCTCACCTTATATCCCTGGTTGATTCCATTGATAAACTGAGGGCTCGGGGCACTCCAGGTAAAACGCACCGTGGTGGAGTTGACAGCCTCGGCTTGTACATTTCCTGGTGGCACAGTGGGCACTGATCCAGGGAAAGGATGAAAAAATGAGAGTTAGAGTGGGGGAGAGAGAGATGGAGGGAGGGGGGTGCAGAAAGCCAGGGGAGGGGGTGATGAGGAGGGATTATGGATGAGATACAGGGGAGGAAAAGAACATTTTCAGACCAGCCTCGCATCAGTCTGAAGTGTTTTTTTTCTTTTTTTTGGTATTTTGGCTCATTTGAGGAGGTACGAACACGCCAATCAAACAGGGTGTGAGAGCGGTTGCCTCAGGCGGCTTCCAGGTGAAGCCTGCAGCACTTTGATTGAAGTGAGCACGCCATTCTGATGTAACACCGGAAAACAGTCGGGGAGTCGCACGTTAACGTATTGGCCCTCATAACCCTGCGCTATCCTTGATTCTCTTTGAATGCATTTAAATTCACATCATGATCTGCTCTTGTGCCTTTAATGGAGTGAGTGATGGAGACGTCTAATTAATGAGAGCTGAGCTAAACAACATGAATGCCTTGTTCGCTGCCGCTACTCACTGACAGTGACTGGAATGATGAAATCATTATTAATTTTTTGCAAGGAGAAGCGAGATGGAAATAAAACAGTGAGTTGTGCCACATACCTTCCAGGTTTCACAGTTTTGATAATTTAACGCAGCAATCTCAAGCTTTTTAATTCTTTCCTCAAATGCGGCACATTTGTTTATTTGCAGATTCTAGTTTGGACCCACTCATTAAATGACTGATTGATCAGGCATCAAAAGTACTGTGCTGAAGTTTCCAAGATTTCTATAATAATATATACCAAGGATGATCAATTACTTCTGGAGCATCTGAAATATTTTATAATCATCAGGCTAAATAAAAGTGACAGAAATAGAATATTTTTACACCACACACACTCAGACTCCACGCCCATAATATAAAGGAAGACACAACAGATAATATGAATCGAAATGTAAAGATGAGAAAGTGAGAAAATAATAGTGAGGAGAGATAAACATGAATGTAAATAGCCTCTTTACAGCGTAAAGCTGTACTTTACTGAAATTTGCATTTGCAGCACACATGTGATTTGAGAGAGTGAATGGGGGTGTGTGTGAAAGTGTAGGTGTTTCTGTGAGTGGCCCACTGGGTAAAGAAAAATGCCTGGGTCAGATAAATATAGGGAATCATATGCCTAAGATTTTCTCCATAAATCATTTTAGATCTGCCAACAAAGAAACACGACTATACAAACAAATACATTATCTTAAACTTGAAACCAACAAAATTGATAAATCTATACTGCTTATACAACTATTCACACGCACACCGACATGCCAACACACTGGCCGAGCTGGGATTCGAACCAGGAACCTTCTTGCGGTAAGACCATTTGTAAAAATCTAATGCAGCCAAAAGATGTGCCAGTCTTGCATCGAAGCAGGGGAGTACAACAGAGCAGCAGGAAACACTCACAATTTTTATATGAGTGCTCTTGAGAATTTTTAGTGAGTCTGGAGGATCTCTGTTCATGGAGTGGATTTAACATGACAGGGATACGAAGATATGTGAGTGTGTTAAGCCTTACAAAGCTTTATATACAAGTTAAAGGAATTTCAAATCAAACTGGAAGCGAGCGCGGCATCTCTAAACCAGGAGCGCTACCCTCTTTTTTCTGCTTGTTTAAGTCTGGCAGCAGCATTTTAAAGTGTAATCTATGAATTGACTTTTAGAAAAGAGGGTTAGGAGAAAATGATTCAAGCTACTTCTAATAAAGAGGGAACCTTTCAGGGTGTTGATGCATTAACTAACGTCTACATTGGTTATATATTTTGATTAAAAAGTCTGCATGTTAATGTTCATTGATGAGGTGCCGAAAATAATTGTATTCGATTCAGCATGGTGTAATTTTACAGTAACACATGTGACGATGGTGGATAGATAAATTGACTGATTCTTTTATCAAATGCAAAAACATTGTCTAGCGATTCCAGATGGTGCTTTCAGGTCCTCTGAAGATTTTGTAATAGACAGAGACGGAAAGAACATAAGGTGTTGAAATCACTGGGATTGATGGAAATATGGAACTAGTAGTTCACAACGTGCATTCTAATTATATTTCTCAGCATGTGCAATGAGACAAGAAATCAATGGAGGCAATTTCCGTTGTAAGCTATGTCACAAGTCTGACGTACATCATCACCTGGGTGGTTTATGTGCAGTCAATTCAATCTGTGCTCAGAGACGCTGCCAACGTCTCCAGGATTTATTTTTTTGTGAAGTGTTGCCATCAGAGAAAAAAAAATACTTTACTCAGAGTACACTTTTTCATTGCACGCTGTTAAAAAAAGATTCAAATCAGGGAATTAAAACAGTAAAAATCAACCAGACGAAAATAGGACCTTGATTATTTTTCTTCTTATTGGCTATTGGCTCATGTCCCAGGTTTACATATAATTTGTTTTGGAGCATTGCCTTTACTGCAAAGTTAACCACACAGACAAAAAAAAAGTGCTGAGAGGTGAATAGTGGCTACGTGGGTGCAGACAGAGTAAGAAAGTACCAGTTGTCTTAACAACATGTGTGAATCACCTGTTTCAAGGTTAGCAAAGCATTGAAAGTTACAGTTTGCTGTGGAGAAAATGTGGCTTTTAATTTGATGGCTGATAAGAGATGATAGGATTGAACTGTCATCCACATGTTTCGTGCTGCAGGCTCAGCCACTGCGACGAGGCTGCAGGCGATGAATGGGATTCATGAAGCCAACAGAATCTCCTCACCTCCTTGCAGAGTCCACTCAGTGACTTTATGGCTGTACGTGCCCCTGCCTGCTCCATTATAGGCTGCCACTTCCATCTCATAGTTGGTCCAGATGATGAGGTCCTCCAGGAGCAGACTGGTCTGGTCCGGGCTGGTGATGTTTTTCATCTGGCAATCCACTGGAAGCCCAGACAGACAGTACCTAGCAGGCAGGGGCAATAATTGACAGAGACAGACAAACGGACAAAAATATAAATACATCAGAACAGACATTCTCCGAGAAAAAGAATAGAGGCAGAAAAGGTAGCAGTGGGAGAGAGGCCAGGCTGAACAGATATTAAATGGTTACAATAAGAGAGGTGACAACAGATGAATAAAGAGTAGAGAGGAAGGTATTTAATTGGCACCAATTATTCTATTGCAGCGGTGAGTGAGAATGAAGCGGAATGGTGAAGAAGAAAAGGAGCTGACATAACAATTATTATTACATCTGAACAGCACAATAGGATAGGCACCTATCCCCGGAAAGAAATTAGATGGGTTGTCTGGTCTTCTTACCTGATGACGTAGCCCTGGAGTGGACCGTTCTGATGACTTTCCGGGGGTGGCTGCCATTGGATGATGATGGACTGGTTGGTGCGGCCACTTGCGATGACGGTCTGCGGGGGGGCACTGGGAGGCTCCTCTGGGAGAGTTAGCCTGGTGCGGCGTAGAAAAGGAAAAGGGGAAAGGGGAATGATGGAAGAGACAAAGAGTGAAGATATGCATTAATTATAATCGGTTTCGTATATTTCAATCTCATTTCATCATAGACATCAAATCATAGTAAAGCCCGCTTTTTGTATTCATTTTTTCCTTTAAAGCGCCATAAAGCAAAGTGGGTACAATGTGGCTGTGTCTTTGTCCAAAAACACATTCTCTATAATACTGTCCACAGAGGGACATCTCGCTGTGGCATGACAAGGATCAAAGAGGCCCTGGTAAAAATGGAGCAGCAGCACAATGGAGAGACAGCGAGTGATAGAACGATATAAAAGAACAAGAAAGAGAGATCGAGGCAGACTTTTCCCTTAAGTCAATTTAAGATGACATCTTGATTTCTTCCCAGTGCACCGGAGCACTGCTCTGGAGGAGATAAAGCAGAGTGTTTAGGATCAAAGAGGTGTGCCAGAGAGATGCCTCAGAAAAGCCCTGCACTTTCACTGACACTCAGTCACCCTCCTGCGGTGTGCTCTTGTCTGGGCACATTCACACAACTCAGCTCTGTGAATGAGTGTGTGGTGCGAAAAAGGTGCGTGGTGGGTAGGGGTGCAGAGCTCCATGCTGCAGGAATAAAAGCAGCAAATTGGTGGTGCTGACGGAGACGGGGTCAGATAGAAGCTTGTACAGGTGAACTCTGATGAGCTAACAAGTGTGTGTGTGTGTGTGTGATCGGGTGTGGGGTGTGCCTGTTTGATTACGACCACTTCGTCTTACCAGCCAAGAGAATTCACTTGAGATTTTAGTCCATGTGGATCACTGCCTCTTTCAAGCCTCTCTGTATTCTACTCGTGAAGTACAGCCGAGACAGTTAATAGGAGGGAGAGAGATGAAGCTGGGTCAGCACACGAATCAAGTCTTCACAAAGTGCAATTTCAGCTCATTCACAGTTTTATCTTGAAAACGGCATGTCCCGGAAAACTGGCTCGTCTCTCCCTCACACCCACAGGAGTGAAAGCCAAAAAGTGGACTTAACAGGAAATAATCACGGGAATTTTTTTTCTATTAAGCTGCCAAGACGAGGGGCGGATGAGCGGCTCGTTCTGCAACTGCGAAGGCCCACAAAGTGCAACGCTGTTCTCGTGGCTGGTTGACATATTAAGATACACAGCAGCGTTTTAGATTTCAGTGGATGCACATTAACAATACCCACCGGTCAGTCTCTTTGCTGAACTGGCCCCTGCCCACATCATTGACGGCGCACAGGCGGAACTGGTACGAACGCGCTGGGATGAGGCCACCAACGGTAACCCCGGTAGACTCTGGCTCAATGTTGGCCAGCAGCACCGTCCAAGGGGCATCTGAGATGGAGAAAAAAAAAAAAACACATGTACAAAAAAGGGCTGTGAGCAATAACAAGCAGTCAGTTTATGACCTTGTGTGAGAGCATTAACACTTTTCTTGAGAAAAATCTCTCCACAAACTCATATTTGAATGTCATTCCTGACTATCATTGCACACCATTGTTTCAGTTTCCGTAATAATATTGCAGCCACACTGATAAAAACAGGTAATTTATTTTGTGTACTCCCTCTCTAAATATCAGATTGAAATTCAATTATCCACAAAAACAGATCCCATCTGCATCTTCGGATTCATTTTCCTTTTAATGAGCTGTCATCCTCTCAGTTAGCTTGAGCTTCGGTGAGAAATGGTTGAACGATTCACTCTCCCCGGGTGAGAGCATTCACATTTCTTTGATTTTTATCAAGCGAACAGAAGATAAGAGCATTGGACATCAACACAATTTGGTTCCCCTGATCATTCGTGGGGAAGGTGAGGCAATTGAGTTTTACTGATTGCAGAAGTTAAGAGAGGACGCAAGTGCCAATTTCGGAAAAACAATGGAAGTGTAATATAATAGGAGGGAGGAAATGAGAGCTTCTGGGTAACAATATTAAAGCAAGAATATTGCCTTTAAAATTACTAACAAGAAACAATAAAATGCATCAGTTTGTGCAGTGTTGACGGTGCCACTGCTTAGACAATGATCTCCAAACCACTCACTGTTTTCGGAGACTTCCAGGATGTAGCGGATGAGGGGGCTGTTTCCATCAAAGGCCTGGGCCCATGTGAGGTTGATGGCCCTCTTCTCTGAGACACTCAAAATTGCTATTGGGTTTTCTGGAGCGTGGGGCAGTTGCCTGCGTAAAAATGAAAAAGGCAAATAGAATCAGGCAAGAGAGGCAGCAAATAACAGAATTAAACAGCCAAACTAAGAGCCCTGCATTGTAAATATTAGCTTGATGGATCGTGGAGAGGTGAACAGCAATAAACCACAACGGTGACGAAAACATCCATCCATCACAGCTGTAAATAAGAGGAAGAAAAATGCAAACAGCGAGATAAGACATGAGGAAAATATGCAGACCTGACTCTGAGGTGGGCGCTGCGGGAGTCGTTGCCACCCACTGAGGTCACCCTGCAGGTGTATGTTCCAATGTCACCCGACCACGTCTGGGAGATGTGCAGGGTCCCGTCGGGCTCCAGCCGCAGGCGAGGCGACGTGTTCACGTCAATCACCGAGCCGCTCTTCTCCCAAACATACCTACAGGTATTTACAAGCGTATGTCAGTGTAGTGCACACGTGTACCACGCATGCACTCACTCACTCACACGCTGTGTATCGCTGAGTGTTTGCATCAGATCATCCAGCAAAACACAGATGATAAAGTGGTGTTTGAGGCTGATAGTCAAGTGATCGGAATCTGAAAAACGTCTCTCTCTGTGACACACACGGTTCCGAAACTTTTCCTCCACGCATTTCTCATTTCGCTGTCACAAACCCCCCCCCACTCCATATGCACATATGCATGCGCACACTCGGAGTGCCTGTGATTAATTGCAATTTTTCGGGCTCTCCAGCTAATCTCCTCTGTGTTGTGTTTAATTAAAGGCGCTGTCTGAAGTTATTACGCTGTTTACATATTCATCTGTTTACCCCGCGATCTGATCAATGCTGTGGGCCCACAGGTGACAGGCACTCTAATCACTGGGCTCCGTAGACGTCGTTCCAGTCCCTATGAGACAGATGCATGTACGCACACTCTATCATGCTCAAGGCTGTCTGAAGAGGAGGGGAGAAGTGATGGGCTAATTCCTCAATCTGACTCTAAGAGTTTCAATATCTTCCCATAGGAGGTCGTTAAAGGGTGGATAAACACGACAAGGTCTCTTGTTTCGTGGGCGAACAGCAATGACATTCGAAAATATTTGAGCTCTCATTGTTAAAAAAAAAACCCCAGACAAAACTGAAAAATTCAAACAGCTGTATGAGTGAACGTCAGCCTTACCTGATGGTGACACTGGAATCATGGGTAACGCCGCAGGTCATGACGGCCTTGGTCCCTTTGATGACACTTTGGTCGAGTGGCGGTTTTGTGATGCGAGTTCGTGCTGCGAACACAAATAGAGGTTTTCATGCAGTTGTCGTTCAGCTTTTCTGTATTTGAATCTGTCTGACGACAGATTGCCTGGTTTGCTCTCGTCTTTGACTCAATGTCTTTCTGAGACAGGGTGAATCATGCACTATCTGCAATCGTTGAAGTATTTTTGTGAGTTGACAAGGACTGGTAATGTGAATTATATATGAATCATTCCTCTATGTAGTTAGAAACATTCGACAATGGACTCCAGGAGCCAGATGTGTTAACTCATCTACAAGTAAACAAGTTACTGAATCAAAAAGAGTTGGTTGAGGAGCAGGGCCACGCCTCTAATCATCTGTTAAACTGAAATATACAGTTTACAGTCGTTACCAGTCCTTTCCCTCATCCATTCATCCTCCTTCCCTCATTCCTACTTACATCCATTCATCCTCCTTCCCTCATTCCTAATTACATCCATTCATCCTCCTTCCCTCATTC